TTTTAGCAACTTTAAGCAACCAACTTGAAAAAATTTGCAACCACTTTTCTTACTTATTTTATCAGGAAACAAGTTAGATAACCTTATAGACATGCCGTCTACCGAAAACGGCAATGCAGGTTTGACGACACCTCCACCACCGGGTAGACAGGTTGATTTAAACGGCACCGGCGACTCGCCGGTCTGTCACAGAACACGGGACCGGCTGAAATAATCGCCGATAGACAGCATATAAAAGGCCGCACGACCTACGACAAATCACCAGTCTTTTACCTGATCTGTAGCAAGACCCACCCGGGCAGACTTGCGCATTTCAGGTAAAGCTTCCACACCAAACCTATCGGACGGTATTTATATCGGTCAATAGTGCAATAGTCAGAGTATTCCGGCATTGCACTGATCATATATCCGTCGCAGTTCATGGGGCAATAGTCGGAGTATTCTGGCATTGCACCGACTGTCATACCGTTCGGTAGGTTCTACTCCCCAGTTGTGCGTACTTTTATCTCGTACCTTGTAACATTAAAAGTATGTTCTTTTTTTTCTCTTCGTTATTTCATTAAAATAAATAACGCGTCATTGTGACATAAAACCCTGTTGTTTTTCTTTCAAAACCAAATTATTATAATTCAAAATCACTACATACTTATTGGTCCTTCGAGCCGGATTCAAAAAGACAAACCGTGACCCTGTCATATTGTCCATCAAACATCCACATCAAAAATTCAAATTCTCAACTCAAGTCACTATCATCATCAGCGATTCTTGACTACTGGTGTCATTTCAACTACTGAAGTTAAAAGCTACACAAACCATGACGCTTCCCGTCTCCGCTGGATACGTTGAAGCAAAGGCCCGTGTAATCCGAGGTACCGACAGAATCACTGTGTTCATTACGGCGGCTGGTGAGTTTAAGGCTGATTCAAAAAATGTTGCAAAACGGGCAAAAATTGAAAAGATGCTTCAAGAACTCAACGAAATCCGTTGGAAAGTTGAAGAGGACATCCAGTACATGGAAAACGCGGTTAGTCACGGGACAGCACCGGTTGATGTCACAGATACATCCTGTAGCCGTACACTATCTGCCACGTTCGATAATCTGTATTATGAACTTGCTGCCTTTGCAGATGTACAGAAAATCTCACTATCACCTGTCCAGGATCAATCTCTCTCGGCAACCTTGAACAAAACCATCGGAAATGGATCAACTAACGTCTCCCATTACCAACTGCCAAAACGAACGTTCCCCATCTTTTCTGGCATCATTACTGAGTGGCAAGGATTCGACGACCTGTTCAACTCCATTATGTCACATGCTCCGGACCTTCCTGACGTAGAAAGATTTGAGTTTCTAAAAACGTCTCTTGAAGGTGAAGCGAAGACAGTCATCGCTCATCTCCCGTTAACGTCCGCAAATTACCACAGTGCGTGGGAACTATTGCGAGCTCGATACGGAAATAGAAGGGACTTGGCAAGAATCCACATACAAGCTCTTCTTGCCCCACGCAAGGTTCTATCTACCGATGCCTGTTCAATCAAATCACAGATCAATGCAATCCGTGAACACACTGCCGCATTGGACAATCTGAGCCTCACGACTCGTCAGTGGAGCCCATTGTTAGTTCATATATTTGAGCAACATCTTGACTATGAACTTCGGGCTCGTTGGGAGCTGATCCTTGGTGATAGGCACCAACCGCAGTTGACGGAGTTTGTTGAATTTCTGCATAGTCACGTGCGGGCAGCCGAAGCACGAGCGGGACACTACTCTACGGCCAGTCCAGGGACAGCTGACTCAGTAAGAATCAAATCAAAACCAACGCCGTCAAGAGGTCCTCGTTCAACAGTGTCATCCAAAGTTCTTGTGGCAGCCACCAAATCAACGTCGAGCACAACCATCAGTTGCCCACTATGTAATCAAACACATTCAATTCGACAGTGCGCACTCTTCGAAAGTCAGAAACCAAGTGAACGATTCCAAACGGCGAAGAAGCTTCAGTTGTGCATCAACTGTTTGGGATCTGGACATACGCCGACAGCATGTCCATCAAGGCATACATGTCAAGCATGTAAAAAGCAGCATCATACGCTTCTGCACTTCCAAGAGGATGCAACCACGGGTGACAGTGTTCCGTCAGCCACTACGATGTTCACTGCCACTCAAAGATCCCAGCCGATCCTATTGTCAACATTACTCATCAGTGTCGCATCAGTCGACCACCAGAAACAGACTCTGCGAGCCCTTTTGGACACGGGATCTCAGGTCAGTTTTATTACAAAGCAGTGTGCAGATCGTCTCGCTGTGACCCGCCGACGTTGCACCACAAAAATCAGCGTGTTCTCAGGCACACCGGTTAACGTAGTGTCTGGCATGACCACAATCACAATGTCACCAGTAAACCAATCTGAACCATCCATTCCTCTCGATGTTCTTATTGTACCGAAGATCACAGATGTCACACCTCAAGAAACTATTCAAGCAACGTCGTGGCCTCACATAAACCAACTTGATCTGGCAGATCCAACCTTCCACACTCCCGGGCAAGTCGATATCCTGCTAGGCGCAGACGTCGCACCAGCTATCTTCACCGGTGACCGCATTGCTGGTCATCGACATCATCCAACGGCCTTTGGCACTGTATTTGGATGGGTTTTGATGGGACCGGCTGCAGCAATGACACCCCAGACAACAAAATTATGTTACCACAATATTCAAACAATGTTATAATTTTAGTAATAATATTATGAAGAACATTATCATAACATTATTTAAAGATTCATTAACATCATAATAACATTATGACAAAATTACCGTGGTAAAAAAAATCATGTTTCCATAATGTTGTATTATAACATTTGTAAAATATTGCACTTTAACATTTCCACAAAAACACAGAAATGTTTTATATTTAATAATGTACTAATATTCAGAAAACATTTCCACAAGAACAAGGAAATATAAAGAATAAATATTGTATTAAAAGAATAACTTGTACATTTAATTATATATCATTCTTGTTTATTAGTTTTTAATAAAAATAAGTAATAACATTCACAATTTATTAGGTTAGTATTGGTATTATCAGGTTGTTTTGAATTTTTTTTTTAAGACGAAATGGTGCATGAGAAAGCCATACGCCAAGGCAGTTGTCAATATCTTTTTCTGGAATATGTTTGTATTTAATGTTCGATCTATTTGCATCTGAAAAATGTTATAACCATATTATTTAATTTAAATATATTTTATAATATGTTGGTAGCTAAAATAATATGTTGTTTCATAATTTGTATTTTAAATTTATTTTATACCTAGTTATGACGTAGGTACACACTACACACTAAACAGATAAAATACAATTTATAGTACATATTTTAAATTATTTAATTTCCTCCATTGGGACTACAATATGGGATTGGAGTTTATTATATTGGCACTATTATTGTGATTTTCATTATTAGTAATTTTTGAATTAAAATTACAATCTATTTCAATATTTCTTGGAGTTGATAAAAGAGTCCTGCTATCAACCGGTAAATCTTTGAAACATTTATGTTTTTTTAATCCCTTTAATCTTCCATTCAAAGCTATATGCGAAATGTTAAAACTAAGAGCCCATGATGCTAGGAAGTCTCTTAAGGAAAAATCTTGTTGAATAATTG